CCTTGGGCAGGGGATCCGTTGTACAAGCACCAGAAAGTTGCTTCGGTCTGGGGACAGGGCTTTAAGGAACTAAAGCATGGACAGGGCACACCCTGAGGGGCTCGAGGGCAACCCCTGGACCTGCAGTCTTCACTGTAGGCGCCAGCTGCCCACCAGTAATCTCAGGTTACCGCTGGGGTCTCAGTGGGTGACTCCTCTCAGTGGGGGCCGCCCTTTCTATGGCAACTCCTCTTCTTCTGCTGTGGGACATGCTTCCCACCAGATGGTCTGCTTCCCCGCTATAACCACAGTCAAGTGAGCTCTCTAGGAGAAGCACTCGGTTGCTGAACTGAATGAACACAAAGAACAACAGGAAAGAATAGTGTCCCAAATGTCATTTCCTCCCTTGAGCCTCAAGTTTTCCAGTGACAGCTTCCCTGCTTCCATGGAGGAATCAGAATTAAGCCAGCATTCAGTAAGCACCCACTACACGGCAGGCACTGTGTGAGGTAGGTACTAGTATGATTACTTACTGAATTATTATTATTATTCATCATGACTGGCTTTTTTTGAGACAGCCCCTCACTCTATTGCCCAGGCTGGCCTCAACTGTGCCACAATCCTATCTCAGCCTCCTGAGCAAAGTGCACCACCACACTGGCAATCTCACTTAATTTTAAAATTCCCCTGGTAGGGACCACATTTAAGAGAAAAATCAAGGATTGCAAGTGAATCACTTTCCTGTTATTGTGCCGATGGTGGGGGAGAGGGAACTTAACCCGGTTTCCGTCCCTGAGGCCTGGCCTGCTCTGCCTTAGGATACCATGCGGCTGTGTGGGACTCCGGAGGGCCAGATTATGGGTGGCTTCTTCACACTCAGGAAAGCCCCTTTAGCCAGCCGAGCAGCTGCCAGGGGAAGCAGTTCAGAAACGTCAGTGGGGGGCTGGGGATTTAGCTCAGCGGCATAAGTGCCTGCCTTGCAAGCAGGCAGTAGTGAGTTCGATCCCCGGTACCGATAAAAACGAAAAAAAAGACAAAAAAAAAAAAAAAAAAAAAAGAATCGTCAGTGGGCCCTCCCAGGTTGTCCGGCTCTGACAAGGCAGAAGGCTGGGCCCAGGGACATGGACAGCTGAGGAAGCGGGGGCTGGGCTCAAAGCTGGGATTCCCCTCTCTGCCATCAGCCAGCCTGGGCCTTCCCTCACAGCCCACTCGAACCACGGCCTACCACCGACCACACTGACCCCTCACTGACTAAAAGGGCTATTAGAAAATGACTTATCTTTTTCATAAAGAGGAGAAACAAGGACCGCATAAAATCATTTCCTATTTGTGTCATTTAACAGGAGACATATTGCTTGCTGGGGAAGCAATGAAAAAAAAAAACCCAACCTCAGATTAGAACTAAACAATTTCAATCTGAATACACTGGATTTACTGAGAAACAAAGACGGACAGTTTAGCAAAGACAAACAAAGACATTAAACAGCTTGAGGAGAGGGGTGAGGGGAAAGATGGGACAGGAGGAATGAAATCTTTGATAAGTTTAAGTGTAATTTTGCCTTCTCTTATTTTTCTCTGGCCTTACAGAAAGTTTTCTGGAATTGCTTGTCAGTTTCTTGTTTTTCTTTTTTGTCTTTTTGAGACAGGTCTTGCTATGCAGTTCGGGCTGGCTTTAAGCTCACTTTCTAGTGCAGGCTGGTCTATAACGATCCTCCTGCCTCAGCCTCCCAAGTACTGGGATTACAGGAGTGTACCACCATGCCCAGCTCTCTGCTTGTCAGTTTCTTAAAAAGACACACATATAAGCACAAAACTAAACCAACAGGAGTGTCCATGTCAGCATTATTCACAGCAGTAAAACACTAGAAATAGTCCAATACTCACTAACTAGCAGACAGGTAAGTCAGACATGGTATCTCCAGGCAATGGGTTGGTACACAGCGACAAAGAGGAGCCAGTTCTCAGATTGTCTGAACATGGATGAGCCTCAGGCACCCTATGCCACGGAGGCTACTATGAGTCCAGCCCCATGAAACTGCAAAGGCAGAACTAGAGAGCGAGAAAGCAGCCGACGTGCTGGGCATGACAGAGCGGGGTGAGGCAGGTTTCCCATGCTGGGCTGTGGCACTGGCCACACCACTGTGTAAATCAGGATTTGAAACTTTCATGTGCCAACTCCCTGTGATGAGTACATTATAAATCACAACATTGTACTAATAAAAAATTTTCAATTTAGTAAAACTCAAAGAACTGAATCTAATAGGTGAATTTTATGGTATGTCAGTTATACCTTAATAAAACCATTTTAAACAAGGTCATATAATAATTCAGGCCATGTTAAAAACCAAAGGTCCAAAACAAAGATACAACTTTTTTTTTTTTTTGTCTTTTTCTTTTTTTTATTGGTACTGGGAATCGAACTCACGACCACACACTTGCAAGGCAGGCCCTTATGCTGCTGAGCTAAACCCCCAGCCCCTAAAATGACGTTTCTCATCAGAAGGTTGATGGAGAATTTGGTAAAATGGGACTGTGAGTGTTAGGGTTGGCGTGAGCAGCACAGGTTTGTCCACAAAGTCCTGGAAGTGTAAAAATCAGCTCAAAGGTAAATTTGGTATCAAGGACCCATAGAGCACGTAGTGAAGGCACCAGGCTCATTTTCAGAGAGAATATCCATAAGCAGAATTGGGTTTAAATCAATTTACGGTGGCAGATCTGAAGTCAGGAGTGACTGAGGGCGCAGTCTGAGGAGGCCAGTGATGGTGAGCATGGCCAGAGGGGCAGCACAGCAGGATGAGCAGGGTCCAGGGAGGCTCCACACACGCAGGAAGACTGTCCAGAAACATCCTGGTGCTGCAGGAAAGGGGCAGCCCTGGGAGAGTCTCTCCCAGCAGCAGATCAAAACCCCTCGGCTTTAGAAAGAGGTAAACCAGGTGTGAAACCAACTGTCCCTGGCTAGACTTCTAAATGTTTTCATCGGTAAATTGGATTTATTCTTTTTCTTTCTTTCTCTCTCTCTCCTTCTGTTTTGTTTCTTTGAGACAGGGTCTTGCTACGTAGGTCAGGCTGGTCTTGGGCTCACTTTGTAGTCCAGGCTGGTGTCAAACTTGCAATGATCCTCCGGCCTCAGCCTCCTGAATGCTGGGATTACAGGTGTGCACCACCACCCTCAGCTTCTATCTTGTTTTTTGGTACGGGAATCAAACTCTGGACCTCACACTTGCCAGGTGGGCACTGTGCCGCTGAGCGGTATCCCCACCCTTCACATCCTGTCTCACTGGGTAAGTCTCAACACATTCCAATGAGGTGACCACACCATACCATCCAGTCCTCTGTACCTCTGCTTGTCACCAAGGGAGGGAAGCCCCAGTCACCAGTGCCCATACACTTTCAGCAACACCTTGGCCTCCTCTCCATAGCTTACCATGTTGGCCAGACCTGCCGTTTCACTTCACATTCCTGGTAGTGCAGCAGTGGGTGGGTAAAGAAATGAGGCTGTGGATCCAGGAAACACTGCCTTTGACCAGCCAGGATGCTCACACTTTGAAGAGCACAGAACATCTAGTAAAGAGTGCCATAGGAAATGGGCCCAACCTGAGCTCTAGTCTCAGCTTGCCTCAGCCTGTGTCTGCCTTGTCACACGGCTCACTTCAGGGTTTAAAACTCCCTGCTGAAGTCCAGGTAGTTATTATGGGAGACGAAAAAACACACTGCCATGAGAATATTGGCCAGTGAGGCAGGTTGGTGGTAAAAGCCTATAATCAGGCTTGGGAAGCTGAAGCAGGAGGATTGCCATGAGTTTCGAGGACAGCCTGCCTGGACTGCACAGTGAGTCCAAGGCCAGTCTGAACTATGTAGTGAGACCCTGTCTCAAAAAACAAAACAAAACAGCCTGTAATCCCAGAACTGTGGGAGGCTGAGCCCAGGATTACAAATTTGAGCCCAACCCAGACAACTCTGTGACATACTCTGTCAAAAAACAAAACAAAACAAAAACAGCTGAGGATATAGTTCAGTGTGAAGGTCCTGGATTCAATCCTCAGTATAGAAAAACCTTTAGACTGATATAGAAAATATCCTTCCATTGTCTCTCCTCTAAAAAATTATGTACTTTAAAAAACAAAAAGCTGGGCATGGTGGCACATGTCTGTAAACCAAGCACTTGGGTGGCTGAGGCAGGAGAATCATTATGAGTTCAAGACCAGCCTGGGCTGCAAAGTGAGCTCGAGGTCAGCCTGAACTGCACAGGGTTTCAAAACAAACAAACAAACAAACAGAAATTACATAGTCTACAAAGATTTAAAATATAGATAATAAAAAGTAGTCTCCAAATTGTTTACCACAGATATAATCATAGCAATGTTATTCAAAATTTTTGTTACTCAAAACAAATATGGATTAATGTTCTGCAGTGTACACTTGGTTATGAAAGCAGAGTACATGGGTTCAAACCCTGCTGCTGCCCATTATAGCCCCATGATTGGTGAACCAGGAAAAGGACACGGTTCTTAGGAGGGGCAAGTAAATTAAACTTGCTGTACATCAGAAGTGTGCATGATACAGAACAAGTGCTCAAACATGAACGCTACATTCCTGCACCCAGATATGCATATCTGCAATATGCACAACACACACATGTGTGTGCCTGTCCCTGACACACGTACTGGACAGTAGTGATTACGCTGACGTGTGCAGTTCTTAGGCCCACACACAAATAGGACCTTCGACACACCATACATTATTTTCTTGTTAAGCATAGACCTGCATCAGCATTTGAAGGCGAGATGCTACCTCCTATAGACAGACCATGCTAAGGTCACTAGGCAGCTGGGGATTACTCAGGTTTCCGCATAATTGTTTGGAGATGTATCTATGCATTATCTAGCAGACATCATAAAAATTCAAAAGCAAGTCAAATAAGGATCAGAAAAGCAGCACTCTGGCAGACTGAACCAAGACTATTTTCTATCCCTTTGAACCCCACACTAGAGAAGTGGCTTAGTCAGCTCACTCAAGTCTAGTTATGATTTAAGTCAGACCAGATCATTTAATACTTGCTCAACATTAAAAACAGGAATAGCATCATTTGAGTACAAATTTCATTTTACAAAAAGACATGATTCTTCCAAAATCAAGATCAGGAACACCTTTAATGCTCCTATTCCAATTGTGCAGATTCATCTGTGCATGACAATTGTGTTCCCTCCCCCACCCACTTAGGGTGGCCCCTGGAGGTGGACATGGCATGGCTGCAGGCCCTCTTGGGTAGAAACATACACCCTAGCTCACTCTATGGTGTAGCTTTCCAGCGAATGCTTGCCTGACAGGAAGGGCTTGTGGGGTCACGCAGAGCTGGAACTCTGAAGGGTCAGTCAGTCACCATACTTTGTTCAGCCACGAGTTTTGATGAACCAGGGCTGGTGATGACTGTGGACCACAGGTGCACCGATGACTGGCTGGTCCACCAGCTCCACAGCACACAGCTCTGGGCTGCAGCTGCTGCAGGGTGCTCGCTCCAGCTCCAACACTGTGATGTTGTTTGGGGCTGAGGTCGTCAGTATGTGCCTCGGCACAAACAAGGTCATCTGGGGACCCCTGGCTGGCCAGTAACGGCCAAGGTTAAAGCCGTTAATCCATACCTGACCCTGGAGGGAGAGAAGACAAAAGAAACAAAACCATCAAACTGGGAAACACTAACAGCCCTGAGTAGTGAGGAACCCCTGGTATCTACCCAGCACCATCTTCAGCAAGACATATACATCAAGGTGGCGCTGAGGTCCGGGCTGGCCAAGCATCCTGCGGGCAGAGGGAAGGAAAAGTAACAGAGTGTGGCCCAGGCTTCCACAGCAGTGTTGGAAACCTGGGCTTAGTCCTCTGGTCCTCTGGCTTCAGCAGCCACAGCTGTCAACCCTGGAGAACAATGAAGCAGACCCACCAAGCTTCTTTTTTTTTTTTTTTTTTTGAGGCAGAGTCTTATTCCTAGTCCAGACTGGCCTTGAACCTGTTTTGCAGCCCAGGCTGGGCTTGAACAATGGCTCTTCCTGCCTCAAGTGCCCAAGGGCTTAGGTGACAGATGTGTGCCACCACACCCAGCCTAGCAGTACCAAGTTTCTGAGTGTCATGCCGGCTCCAGGTACTGCCGGGCTTGGCACCCCAGCTTCTGCCTGACTTCTCTGGGCTCAGAGAATTGTCCCACTGCTGCCTCCTTATGCCTAGTGAACAGGTGGTGACTGGTGAGCCCCAGCACCCCAGGACCTGCAGCCTGGGAACAGGCAAGCACCTGGTGTGGTTCCCAAGGCCTGGGGCTGGGAGGAAATCTGCATTGCTTCTGTGCCCCACCCAAGGTGATGGGCGAACTCTGTGTTTGCTGCAAGAAGCAGAGATGATCCCACCGCTGTGAAGGTGGCTTTTATGAGGAGTGAAAGCTGCTTCCCAGAGCAATGCAGAAAGCCTGTGTTTGGGGTTTATTTTTGTGGAACTGGTGAATGAACCCAAGGCCTTCACAGCGAGCTACATTTCTAGCCCTTTCCTTATTTTTTGAGACAGGGTCTTGTGAAGTCAGTAACTTGCCCAGCCTGGGCTGAAACTTGCAATTGTCCTGCCTCAGCCTCCTTCCCAGAGTGCTGGGGTGACAGGCCGCAGTGTCTGGCTCCATGTTTGGTGTGTCTCCCTACTTGTGCCAGGATCTGCTCATAGATAGCTGAACAGATAAACACTCTTACAAAGAAAGCAAGTGAAGTGGGGGCGGAGGAAATCACACACATAAGAGAGAAACAGAAAATCTGGAAAAGGAAGAAAGAAAATAAAGAGACAGAAAGGGGAGAATGAAAGGGAGGAAACAGGAAAGGAAGTGCTGCCCCAGTAGCCCACTACAGTGGCATCACGTCAGGCTCTAAGATGAGAGTGGCAATCTTCACCCTGCAGTGGCTTCTCTTTGGGTATTCGGCAGCTTCCCATGTCCCTTTAGTATAGTTCCTTCTGAACATCTCACCTAGCTCCATCTTCTTAGTGCTGCCACTTCCCAGCTATTTGATCTTGAGTAGTATATTCAGTTTTCTGTGCCAATAACCGGGGATAGTGAGGGCATTGGGAACGGTGTGTGCCTAGTCCATCCAGGCCTGCATGAGGGCAGCGGGCCTCATGTTACAGAAACAGCTTGGTGTTCACATCCCACAGAAGAGGGCAGTGACTAGAAACCACTGTCAGTTGGATGAAGTCATTTAGAAAAAGGATGACAGTTTTGTAGTTCTCAGAACTATTTTACTCTTGTTTTTTTTAATCATGGGATATGTTATCTCCATCCATCCTAAAAGCTATCAGTGAGTTTCACCAGGTTTTCATGAGTTTCAGGTTGGCCGGGCCCTGTTTGCACAGTACCTGAGAACAGAGGCACTGCACTACTAGGATCCTGAGTGGGTTAGTGTGCAGCTTGCAAGGACAGGTGTGTCCTGAGCAGGTTCTTGACTAGACAATGACCAAGGCCTGGCCAGCTCCTGACCAGCGAGAGACTGAAGAGGAATTTGGTTACACTTCACGCCTAAATTTCAAGAAACACATTTGATTTTATTTCTTCCTTATATGTATAGTATGGTAGAATTAAAACTTGAAAACAAAATTTTTGAGAGGGTACTGGGAATAGAGCTCAAGACCTCATACTTGCCAGGCAGGCGCTGTGTCACTGAGGTAAATCCCTGACCCTAAAATTTGAAATTACCTAAAGCTAGACTTTCTTTTATAGTAAAGGTTTTTTCCCCCCATGTTTTGGTGTCGATTTTATTACAGAATTTTAAAAATTTTACCTGAATTTTCAAAATTTTGGCCAAATTTTTCACTATATCCTCCTAGTTCTCTACTAATGTCTCCATATTTTTTAGCTTTTATGCTGATTTTTAGGCAAAATAATGCATAACAAGCTTGCAAAAAATGAAGCTTTTCATTTCACGGTTTGATTAAAGTTAAATAATGAAGATTCCTACATAACCACCGAGAACAAAAAAAAAATACCCCTACACAGACACCCCTTGAAGTCATCATCTCCATTCTCTTCCCCAGTAATGTTTATTCTCCTGATTTCAATTATCAGGTAAGTTTTGTGTAATTTTGAAGTCTATATAAATATAAGTACTTTATGTAGTTTTTAATACCTAGCACATTAAGTGTAATGGTCTCTTGCTGATTTTAAAAGCAGTATGGTGTTAAATGGTATGAACATGCCAATGCTTTTCCTCTGAGGTGCTGGGCCTCACACATGCTAGGCAAGTGTCCTACCACTGAGTTACTCCTCCAGTCCAGAATGTGCCAGTGTTTACTCCCTTTACCACCGGAAACAAACATTTCGATTGTTTCCAGATCTTTCTATTACAATGAGCAGTGCTCATATGAACACTCTCACATGTGCCTTAGGGACACACTTGCACATCTCTCCCAGGAGTGAACGCATGGGATGGATGTGCTGTGCGATAAGAGTAGGGATAAAAAGAAAAGGCAAAGGAAGAATTGAATTTTCATTTCCAATTCATGTAAATTTAAACAGAAATGGTCACATGTGGCTAGAGGCTACTGTCTTGGGCAGCAGGGCTGAATGCTAAGAGGCCTGTGTCTTCATCAGCAGACGGTGGACCCTCCACTCCTCCTCCTCCCCTCATGTCCGGGCTTCTAAATGAAGCTCTTATCAACCTTGTTTTAGACCAAAGCAGCCTCTTTAGTCTTGACTTCTTCTGTTAACTTTAGCACCAGGCTCCCCCTGGTAGCTACTCTGGTCATTGCCATGAATTCCTGCTTCTGAGCTGCTTGCCAGGGCCTTTCTGCTCCCTGCCCTGTCTCTGCCAGGCTGTTGCTCTGCCCACTCGGCTCTCCACAAGACACCTTTTCCCCTTTGCGAGATCCCAAGTCCAAACGAGCCCTCCAGACCCGGGCTCCGCTGCCCGGGGGCAGGGCCCGCTGCTCCTACAGGCCTTGCCTCTCATCGCTCCCTTGCCGTCAATCTCTTCTTCTTCCTCCAGTTACTGCCATTACTGGAAAGGCTGTACAGCATTTGCTCTGGGGCTGGTTTACCAGCTATGTCAGGTTATAACACAGGTTCTATGAAGAGAAGGGCTTTGCTCATTTTGCCTGAGGAGAGACTCTCAGCCTTCACTAAGAAGAAATACATCCTTTATATACTTAGCCTCGCTCATTTGCTAACCCTGGTGGGTAATTGTGCCTGAGAAGACTCACCAGAGAGACCATCTGAAACCCTACTGAGAAAGATTCTTTAAAATCCACTGCTTGCAGAATTTAAGAGTTTTAAATAATACTGCTCACTAAGGAAAAAATGAAATGCTTGCATTTTTACCTTAATTTGGACCAATAAAAAAGTACTTTAAAAGAATGGAACTGGAAAAATTCTAGTGAAAAAATATGTAGCCAGGTGTGGCAGGGTATGCTTATAACCCTAGTACTCGGAAAGCTGAGGCAGGAGGATCACTGTGTATGAGGCCAGCCTGGGCTACAAAGTGAGTTCAAGGCCAGCCTGAACTGCATAGTGAAATCCTGTGTCAAAAAAAGAAAAAAGGATTGAGGATGTTGCCCAGTGTGAAGACCCTGAGTTCAATCCCCAGTATCAAAAACTTAAAAACAAAAACAACCAAATCTATCTATTATCTAATGATTTTCCTTTCTCTTTAAAAAGTTATGCTGTCATTATTGTTGGAAAATGTGACCTAAAAATAGGCGCCCTCTTAAGCAACAAGGTGCGCCACCACAGGCTGCACACAGCGGTAGCAAGGGGCTTCCCAAGGCTGCCCCCACTACACAGTTCCCACACCAAGTCTGACTTTCTCTGACCACAGACTGGCCCAGCAGACTCCCTGCCCTTTGCTCTTAAGGCTGAGGTTGTAATACTAATTTCAATAAATGTGGAGTTCCCAGAAATGTCTGACCTACTTTTTTACTGATCAGACAGATTTGTGAATTTATCTGTTTTAGTCTATCTGGAGAAATACAATTTTTCTTAGAAGAATTTGAAGCACAAATTTCAATACCGTTTTAAGCTGTAGTTTAAATTTTTTAAAAAAGTTTTTGGAAGTTCCTTTAAAAGTGATGTTAAACTCAGGTTGGATGGTGACTTTATCATACTCTGAAAGATAGACACTTGGAGGACTTAAAATAAGAAGAGAGAGGTTCAGTTCCCAAGGTTAAACGTCTTTCATCACATGGAACTGGTGAATTACCTGTGCTGCTAATTTGAAAGAAAGAAAAGAAAATTAGACAAACAAACAAACAAAAACTAACAAGCAAGAGGATGCTGTTTACAGATGTAAAACAAACCCCACCCCAAAATATAGAGAAAAGCAATATTTAGGGCTTATTAACTCCTGTTTGCCCACACAGTTTTAGCAAGTTTACAGCTACTCTATTAATACACATTTATTGAAAGAAACCTGCTTCTATAGTCCTAAATTTGTAAGACTTGTAACTAGAACCTGAGTTAGATATAAATCGATCTTGTAGGGAGTGTCACTGCAAGTCCGAGGGGAAATGTTTGAAAAACACATCAAATTTAGGGTGAAAGGAGGGTTACACAGTGCTAAGACCCTGTGGCATGTTGGGAAAATGGTCACAGTTCTTGGACGCGCCCTCTATCAGTAGCCAGACTCTGCTCTCC